TTTCTTACCACACTTTTTAAAAGTGAATGTACAAGATTTTTGTACTTTTGTTTAAAAATGTTTAAAGTGTCCAAGAAAAAAAGGGAAGGATAAACCTCCAAATAATAATGATGTCTGAGTTTTGGAATGGTAAGTGTTCTTTGTTTCCTCTTTATAAGCTGTAGCATTTTTCAAATTTTATGCAATAATCATGTTCATGTTATAAAAGCAGAAACAATTTCAGGAAGAAACAAAAAGTACTCTCTTTAATCTAAAAGAAAAAAAAAGAGAGAAAGTCCTGAAAGCATCTGGCCAGATGTGGCACTGGCCCCATCTTGCTTTGCTCCCTGCTTGCCTTCTTGCCTTCATGCAGCTGCAGCTTTCTTATTATTTTTGTGGGCACATAATAGATGTGTATATTTATGGGGCAGCAGCAGCTTTCTTTTATATTTTAATATTTTTTGAGACAGAGTCTTGCTCTGTTGCCAGGCTGGAGTGCAGTGGTACCATCTTGGTTCACTGCAACCTCCACCTCCCGGGTTCAAGCAATTCTCCTGCCTCAGCCTCCCGAGTAGCTGGGACTACAGGTGCACCACCATGCCCAGCTAACTTTTTTTGTATTTTTAGTAGAGACAGGGTTTCACCATGTTGGCCAGGATGGTCTCAATCTCCCAACCTCGTGATCTGCTCACCTTGGCCTCCCAAAGTGCTGAGATTACAGGCGTGAGCCCCCACTCTCAGCCTATTTTAATTGTTTGTGGGGGCACATAGTAGCTGTGTATATTCATGGGGCAGAGGCAGCTTTCTTGTTCTTGCTCTGTCTGCAGTGAAGCAGAAGAGTGGCGGATTCTCCCTGCCATAGTCATGTTGCATCTGTTTACAAATCATGCTCCTCTTTTTGCTTTTCTTCCTTCATACTAAACAGTCCCAATGTAGTCACTCTTTCGTCTGAACCCAGTTGTCTCTCAGGTTAAATCCTATCACAGGCAGTTCTACGAGGGAGTACCCTTAGTCGTTCAGAAATCGGTAAGAAGACTCAGGACTCCCCTTATTACATGGGACTTTTTAAAAAATCTTGATGCTGGGCGTGGTGGCTTACGCCTGTGATCCCAGCACTTTGGGAGGCCGAGGCGGGTGGATCATGAAGTTAAGAGATCGAGATCATCCTGGTCAACATGGTGAAACCCCATCTGTACTAAAAATACAAAAAATCAGCTGGGCATGGTGGTGCGTGCCTGTAATCCCAGCTACTCGGGAGGCTGAGGCAGGAGAATTGCCTGAACCCAGGAGGCAGAGGTTGCGGTGAGCCGAGATCGCGCCATCGCACTACAGCCTGGGTAACAAGAGCGAAACTCCATCTCAAAAAAAAAAAGAAAAAAAAATCTTGATAATTTGATGGTCACAAGATTTGCTCTAGATCATGTTCAGTGGTTCGCATTAAATGGTGATCAAGTCCAGCGTTTTACTCTGAAAACTGGACTGCAGAGTGGTTAAGGCCTGGAAGGCTCGTACTGAGACCAGGTGGTGGCATGACCTGTCTCTGTTGCCACTCACCCAGGTCACTGCCGCCACCCAGAGGAGGGCTTATATGACACAAAGGTGCAGATGGCTAGGAGGTACTTGCAGGAAGTCGGCTAGTTGTCTATAAATTGTCCTTCTTTCACAGCAGACCTCTGAGTTTTAGGTGGGTGCATTGCCGCCCACGTAAAAACCAAAAATTTCCAGGCTCCCCACACTTAAGTGTGGTGATGGAAGTCCTGGGAAGGGAGGGTTTCCAGAAGGAAGGAGTGGTCTGCGGTGCAAACACTGAGAACAATCAAGTCAGATAAGGCCTGTACAGGACTGGTGGGTTTAGCTCAGTGCATCTGGCAGTGAGGAGACCACTGGTGACCTTGGGGAGAAGTGTTTTCCTGGGGAGGCAGCGGGGACAGGGTAACTGGTGTGTGGGAGTGGGTGGGGTGCTAGCTGCCTTTTTGGGAAGAAAGGGTGGATACAAGGAGGGAGGAGTTTCATTTATTTTGTCAATTTCATCATCTTCATCATCTTCATTATAGGCAGAGAGTGGGAAGTGGGAGGGAGTTCCTGCTGCAGGACATCGTGTGCTTGTTCTGTCGGGGCCGATGACACTTTTGTCATTTCCATAGCTAACTCATCATTTAAGTTCTCATGTATGCATAACAATCTTTTCGTGGTTTTCCCCAAAACCAAAATGTAAGTTCCTAGAAAGTGGAGATTGTTTATAGTTTGCTGTATACAGAGTAGGTGCTTTGTTGGTGTTAATTGCCTCTGCTTCCTCTTTTTTTTTTTTTTTTTTTTTTTGAGACGGAGTTTCGCTCTTGTTACCCAGGCTGGAGTGCAATGGCGCGATCTCGGCTCACCGCAACCTCCGCCTCCTGGGTTCAGGCAATTCTCTTGCCTCAGCCTCCTGAGTAGCTGGGATTACAGGCACGCACCACCATGCCCAGCTAATTTTTGTATTTTTAGTAGGGGTTTCACCATGTTGACCAGGATGGTCTCAATCTGTCGACCTCGTGATCCACCCGCCTCGGCCTCCCAAAGTGCTGGGATTACAGGCTTGAGCCACCGCACCCAGCCAGCCTCTGCTTCCTCTCAAGCAATGTTTCCTGAAACATATCTGAGCTTGAAACAGCATGGATCTGTCCATGCTGGTGCACCACTAATTGATGACGTGGCTTCCTGAAAGTGGAGGAGCACCTCACCACAAGAAGAAAGCCTTGCAGTAGGAAATAAAGCTGCTTGAGGAGAGGTGGGATGGGATGGAAACAGCCTACTCACTCTCCCAGGACTGGTGAGGAGGAAGCCTGGAGGGAGGGCAGGGTTATGCATATTCTGCAGCGTCAGATAACAAAGCAGATGAGTCAGCAGCATTCACCTGGCGTTTTATTCCAGGCGCAAATAATATGATGATTTTTATGAACCTCATTTAACAAACTTTGATGAATCCAAGGCATGGCTGCCTTTGCCTTACGATAAACAAGTCTTGTCTGTTGCTTGGCTCACTCTTTGATACTTGAAGGAAAATCTGTTGCAGTCAGAAAGAAAAGATGTCAAAGTGGAGGCAGCCAGTTGCTCTGGTGGAGGGAGGGCTGGTGTCCCAGGTTAGCATTACGTGGGTAGGGGCCAGTTTTGCCCTGTCCAGAGCTCAGTTTATCGGAGGGAGTGGCATAAATCCATGCCTCTCAAACTTTAATATGCATAAGAATCACAGGGGGTGTGGGAGATTCCCACGAGGGCGTGGGAAATGCAGCTTCTGAAAATGCAGCTTCTGATTTAGTGGCATAAATCCATGCTTCTCAAACTTTAATATGCATGAGAATCACAGGGGGTGTGGGAGATTTCCACGATGGTGTGGGAATCTCCTGAAAATGCAGCTTCTAATTTAGTATAGCTGGGCTGAGGCCTGAGATTCTACATGTCTCACCAGTTCCCGGCTGCACTTTGAGTAGCAAGGATGTAAATTGGAGGCCGATTTTTCTAAACTTTTGGTACCTGTCACCACTGGTTTCCTCACAACCCAAAGACTGCTTAGGCAGCACGGTGGCCCAGAAACGGGATTCTGCCTTCCAGGGTTGCTGGGTTTCCTGCAGACCTCAGTGTCTTCCTGCCTTTTTGCTTTCACCTTATCAGCCTGAGCCTGTCAATGGCTCTGGTTATGCATTTCCTTGGTTATGTTTCCAGCCTGAAGGGAGACCCGTTGACTTAGGGCTTCTCTGTGTCCCAGAGTTTTCCCAGAGATTCGTTAGAAAGCAATCTTCAAGGATGGGGTTCTTCCTCTGAGGGCTAACCCAGTATTTTTTTTGATTAATTCTTCCTGGTTTCAGTCTCTCTGGGTGATTCTCCAAGAGTTGGAATGCACTGGCCAGAATGATGACAAGACAGATAAGAGGAATCACATTTAGAAATAAGTAATCCCATCTGGCAGCCAGAGAGATAGGGCGGTAAGATGCTGAGCAATGCTCTTGGAGCAGGATCTTCCATGAGCACCGACAGCTGGAGTGGGGACGCTGGATGCGTCACCTGCCTGCCACCTGACTTCATTTATCCTGCAGCCTGCCTGACCTTGCTGAACTCCATCCCAGATCCTCATTTGGTGAACCTGGGCTGTAGACTTGGGCTTTGCCTGGCATTTCTTTGGAGCTGGATGCTTGGGCATGACTGCCTGGTCATGATCACATGGATGACCAGCTATGGAGCTCTGAGTAGCTGCAGAGAGCCTCTGAAACCGACCACCTACTTTGGCTTTGTTGTGGCAGAGACTGGCTTGTCTCTAGGGCTCCATCTAGATCTTCTAGCTTCATGCTTGCCATTAATACCCAGATTCATAAAAGTAAAAATCACAAACTAGAATTGCCTATAAAAATGAGACTAGGGCCGGGCTCAGTGGTTCATGCCTGTAATCCCAGCACTTTGGGAGGTGGATCATTTGAGGTCAGGAGTTTGAGACCAGCCTAGCCTACATGGCGAAACCCCATCTCTACTAAAAATACAAAAAATTAGCTGGGCGTAGTGGAGGTGCCTGTAATCCCAGCTACTTGGGAGGCTGAGGCAGGAGAATTGCTTGAACCAGGGAGGTGGAGGTTGCAGTGAGCCGAGATCGCACCATTGCACTTCAGCCTGGCGACAGAGCAAGACTCCATCTAAAAAAATAAAACATGAGACTAGAATTGCCTTAAATTTTAAAGTGTTTTTCAGAGTAATGCATAGTGTCTGTCAGGTCCTCCTGTGCATTTGTCTAGGCCTGCCACACAAGGTGGAGGGCAGAGAGAGGAGGGCTGCCAGCCCTGGGCTCCACCTCTGAGTCGAGGTTTCTGGAGGTGTAGCCTCTTTCCCATGCTTTCCTCTCCACAGATGTGCGAGAGCCTGTGGCTATGAGACTGCCTTCTCCACAGGGAAGCACTTAAAGCAATTCCAGTGGGTATAGAGCCCCAACAGGGCTGCTCTCTCTCTCTGACTTTCTCAACTTTAAAAAAAAATTTTATATTTCATTAGAAAGCCCAGGACAACCTGCTCGCAACCCTGTCGTCAGAGAGCAGAGCTGGCTTTGTAGTAACCTGGTTGGCCCTGATGGGTCCTGTGCCTCTGGCGGTAGAAGCTGACACAGGGCGGGGGAGGCTCCCTGGGCGGGGGCTAGGAGGGACACCGGCCCTTCAGCCCCTTCTTCTTCTCCACTGCGAGCCGCAGGGCGTGGAGGAGCGTGTCCTTATTATTCAGGATGTTGTACTCGGAGAGTTTCACCAGCTTGTCGAAGGTGGCCTCCGTGTACGTCAGCTCCTTGGTGGCATAGGGAGTTTTGGGACCATAAATATCCACCTGGCCGAGCTCCAGCTCCTCGGGGCTTCGCTCTACACCTGGGGGCAGCAGGAGGACTTGTTATAGATTCTGCCATGTTAGGTTGGAATGACTTGTTGCCACATCTGTCCCCAAGGCCCACCAACCTGCACTCATGGACACACACACACACCCGCATGAAAACGTGTACACATGTATCCTCACACACACGCACGCACACTCTTCAGGGTGGGGTACAGCTTGCCCGTTGGAGGATTGCCCTAGCCCCACTGGGCACACGGCCAAATGTCAGAAAATGTAGAATGCTGAAAGGATAGGGGATGACATTCCCAGCCCATGGGGGTGAGGGAATGGGAGGGGCTCTTTTCTTCTTTGTGGAAGCCAAGGTGGGCTCAGGCTGGAGCTGAGCCAGGTATCCCATTTAGTGATCTTAGCAGACACTGCAGGTCTAAAGGCAGCTCCGGAGCCAAGCGCAGCGGGTGCTGGGAACTGAGTGCAGAGGCAGCTCACCTGGTGCCTTGTATTTTTGGAAAGTGTCATTGATGAGTGGGAAGAAAGTCACAATGGGGGCATCGGGCTCCTGGGGGTTCTCCATCAGGTAGCATTCCTTGAGGTCTCCATTATCATCTGGCAGCTCGAATTTGGGGAAGGGGATGTTCTGCATGCTGCAGTACTCACTCGTTTGTTTCAGGGGCTGGAAAGGCAAGAGGGTGTGTTTGAGCATTAGGAGGAGTGGGAGTGTACAAGAAACACAGAGTTCTTAGCCCCAGCTTCCTGATCTCCCCAGCTAACAACTCAGCTCCCCAACTGCTTTGCTGGTTTGTGATATTTTGAGACTAAAGCCAGGTCAAGGCAAAAGGCCTGAGGCAATAAATTGATGCACCACCAGCTGCCAGCTCCTTCCCCAAGTATAACGGACAGAAGCCCTTTCGATGGTGTTCTCACCCAAACACAGAGCTGGGTGGATGTGGTGGGTGGCCCGGAAGGGTGACTGGAGCCAGGCCACGCACAGCCAGAGTTGGCCACGCCCCTGTGGGATGTACGTGGGCTTTGGAGCTGACGGCAGCACAGGGCTAGAAAGGACTCTGCAAGGGTGTCTCTAAAGCATGATGCTGCAGGAACAGTCCTGGCCTTAGAGTGTCAGAACCCCTCAGTTCTGCCCCTGTTCCTCTGCTCACTAGCTATGTGATCTTAAGCAAATCTCCCTCTGCCTTGGTATTCTCATCCACAACACGAGAAAGATAACAGTTGTGCCGTCTCCCTCCAAGAGCTGGTGTAAGGGCCAAACGCGATGGCAAGTATGAAAGTGCATTGTTACCCATTTACAAACTTAGATTGCTATCACTGTTGCCTGGTGGGTCTGCCTACACTTCCCTTCCCCTGGCTTCAGGGTAGGACTGTACACAAACAGAACTTTCCGAAGTAAATAAAAAACAAATAAAAACCTCTACCATCCTGGCCAACATAGTGAAACCCCATCTCTACTAAAAAATACAAAAGTTAGCTGGGCGTGGTGGCGTGCATCTGTAGTCCCAGCTACTCGGGAGGCTGAGGCAGGAGAATTGCTTGAACCTGGGAGGCGGAGGTTCCAGTGAGCTGAGATCACACCACCGCACTGTAGCCTGGCACTTGACAACAGAGCGAGACTCTGTCTCAAAACAACAACAACAACAAAAACACCTCTGGTCCCAGCCAGTCGTGGTGTCTCACTCTTGTAATCCCAGCACTTTGGGAGGTCGAGGCAGGTAGATCATATGAGGTCAGGAGACCGAAGTCCAGTCAGGCCAAGATGGGGAAACCCCATAAAAAAACAAAAATTAGCCGGGTGTGGTGGCACATGCCTGTAATCCCAGCTACTTGGGAGGCTGAGGCAGGAGAGTCACTTGAACTCAGGAGGTGGAGGTTACAGTGAGCTGAGATCACACCACTGCACTCCAGCCTGGGTGACAGAATGAGACTCCGTCTTCAAAACAAAACAAAACAAAACAAAAAACCCTGGTCCTGATTCTTGAGGGTAATTCATGGAGGGTTATATACCCTGGGGGAAGGGAAAGCGCCATCATTTTGAAAATAGGTTATTACAAGCTCTTGAATGGAATGGGTTCTGTTAAGGGTATTTTTAAAAACTTGTTTTTTGTAGCTGAGGAATTGGCAAATATGGCAGACGCTCCAAGTCAAGAGTAAAATTTGAACTGGCTAAGTCAACCCCTGCCCCACAGCGTGTGAGAGCCAGCTGGCTGCCCGCGAGGTCTGGGTGTCTGGCTTCCCATCATGACTGCTGCTTGGCTTTCTCTGATGCCGTCTTGGGGTTGTTGAGAGTGGGCCTCTTCCCAGTTCACAGCGAGGGAAGCCACTGACTGCAGGGCCTGCTTCAGGAGAGGCAGCAGCCCACGCCCAGGATGGAGGCTGTGTACTTGCCTTTGTCTGGGACCCGGCACAGTAGTTGAGGTGGATGATGAGGTCGACTTTTCGCTCTGGCCTAAGGAGGGGCGGGTAGCTGGAGTTGACAAAGAACGCTGTGTCCAGCAGGCACAGGTGGTTCGCGGTCTCGGTCAGCTGGTTCGGGAAACCATCCAGCACTGTGTCTGAAAGCCAAGCCTTCCAGTTACTGACACACCCGGTGCCCTGACTGACCTCAGCCAATGGACAGAGGCACCTGTGGGGACAGAGCGCCCTGACTGTAGCATCCTTCGCCTCAGCCTGACCAGGATGCCCACTGAGCTCCAGTGCCCCTCTGGGTGGACTGAGGAAGAACAGCATTATCTCGGGCTTTTAGCTGGTCTTCTGTGGGATATTCATACTTGAGGGGAATGAGGGGCTTAAGACCGCCTGTAAATAAGGTAAACCCTGGGCCCTGTGCCAGTGTCCAATTGGCCCCAGTTGGTGAGGATGAGGCTCAGCAGGCTAGGCTCAAGCAGCCATTTTTCATGGCCAATTGAAATACCAAAGGTGAAAGTCAATCCCTTAGAGTCCCAGCAGCAGAGGTGGCAGCACTGAGATGGTGCTACAGGACCACAGTTTCAGGCCCGGCTCTGCCGCTTACCACTTGGGGGTTCCTGAGCTGGGCCACCCCTGCCCAGTTCCAAGGGGACACCACACACATTATCTTTTTTTTTTTTTTTTTTTTTTTTTTTTTTTTTTTTGAGACGGGGTCTTGCTCTATTGCCCAGGCTGGAGTGCAGTGGCGTGATCATGGCTCATTGCAGCCTTGACCTCCTGGGCTCAAATGATCTTCCATCTCAGGCCCCCAGGTAGCTGGGACTACAAGTGCCCATCACCATGCCCAGCTAATTAAAACAATTTTTTTTTTAGAGATGGGGGTCTTACCATATTGCACAGGCTGGGCTCAAACTCCTGGACTCAAGAGATTCTCCAGCCCCAGCCTCTCAAAGTGCTGGGATTACAGGTATGAGCTACTATGCCCAGCACCACTCACATTAAAGGGCACCCCCAGAACACACCTGCAGAAAGTAAGACCCCCTGTTTCCACATGTGTAACACGGGGCCAACTTCTACCTGCTGGGACTGTTGTACGGATTCTGTATAGAGCTGCTGCACAGTTGCAGTGAGTTAAGTACTCACACCGCTCCCTCCTGCTGGACTGTACAGTGTTCAAGATGACATCGCCAAATGTGGAACACCCCACGGGGAGAGGGCCACTGGCCCAGTGAACATGGCCAGAGAAGTTTTCTTATTCTTTCTCCATGTGGCAGCCTTGACGGCCACATCTTTCTCCTCCACATGGAGGCAGGCCTCAAGGAGCAGCCAGGTGGGGTTACCTTTCCACTTGGAGAACTGGCCATTCTGGAGGTAGTTGGTGTGCAGCTGCAGCCCAGACAGGAAGTTGTGAAACTCGGACCCAAAGGACCGGTAGGTGAGGATTTCTCGGAAAGTATTGGAGAGCCATGACCCCGGTATTACTACCGTGGTCTCCAGGATGTTAGCATCACATTTGGGGATTTCAGGCAGGATCGGCTCGTCTTCTGCAGGGGAAGGAGGGAGGAGGGGCAGGTCATGAGAGCTGGGGTCCCCGGATTGCCCACACAAAGCCCACAAGGTTGCCTGGCACCCAGGGGGGAGCACTGTGAAAGCAGCTCATACCTTCCTTGCGGGGCTCTCAAGGCCCTGGCACTGAGTTAGGAGGACCCAGATGGGAGACATGGGGTAAGTGGGGAGGGAGTAGACAGGGAGAGGGATGGAGACAGGCAACAATGATCCCGGGGAGGACAGGGAGCTTCAAAGAGTGCCCTGTAACTGCCATAGATCTACTCTCCCCACCTCTCCTGGGTGCTGGGAGCCTTGCTGCCGGGCCTTGGCACAGGCATCGCTCACCTACAGTCACCTCCCCACCAGGCAGGGAAGACACTGTAGCCCCAGCTGCCTTCCTGTGTCTTGGGCCGTAGGGGATGATGTGGAAACATGTGGCAGGTAGCCTGGTCCTCGGTTCGTGATCCACACCCTGCCCTCCATCACCCAACCATGAGGGAAAGCCGGGGTTCACGCACCGATGTCGTGCACTTTCTCCCTTGTCCATCTGTGGAAAAACTCCTCCGAGGTGTGTGACAGGTTCCAGGCATCCAGCAGGTTCAGGGAGAAGATGCTGCTCCACAAGCCTGGGGAGCCAGGGCCAGCGTGAGCAGCTTCACCCCGCAGCCCCCAGGCCCCGCAGACACTGACGTGTGATTTCTCCCCCGGCACCCCCAAGCCAGGCTGCTCCGCAGGTGGGACAGACTTCCACCTCCCTCTCCCTTCCCCGTGCTGTTCAACACAGTGACTGAGGGTCTCAGCCCTCAGCTCTTCTCTTCCCTCCCCTCGGTGCTGGGAGACATTGTTGTAAATGTATTTAGGGCACAGCCCCAGCAGGGATTTAATGCTGGCAAGTACAGGCTTTGAGTTCAAGTCCAGCTGCCGTCAGTGAATACAGGTAAAGCATCTAGGGCAGCACTTGGCACATGGTGAACACTCAGTAAATGTTAATGCTCTTTGTTATTATGATTTTTAAATGTAGGACATTAGACATTGACCCATTTGGATCCTCTACAAGGTAGGCTTAACTCTTAAGCCTGATTAATTAATGTAAAAACCTAGGCTCTGAGAGGTGAGGCAATTTGGCTACCTTTACACAGCTAGTGAGTGAGAAGCCAGAGTACAAGCCCGAGTGCTTTGACCACAGTTTTCTTAACCACATGCTCAGCGGCATAGGTGTTCAGGGGAAGGAGAGGCCGCCGTGGGCTGGGGGCTTCTGGGGCAGCTTCACAGAAGAGATGGGACTGAGTTGGATCTCTGGGATGGGTTAGTTTGGGATAGACAGAGGGGAGGCACAGACAACTAATTTAAATAAGGGCATGTCGAGGCTGTGAATGTGGGTCTGTTTCTGAAGCAGCCCTTTGATGGCTGCAGTGAAGACTCTGAAGGGAAGAATTCAAGTGGGCCCTGCACCCAGTGGGCCCAGCTTCTGAAGGACTGAGGTGCTTAGGGTGGGAGGCTGGGCCAGGCTTCCCTGGTGACCCTGCCCCTTACCCTGTGGTCTCCCTGGCCTCTAGGTCCTAGGGCTGGGTTGGCCCCTGGAAGCAGGCACCTGCTGCCTGAAGCCAGAGGGGGAGTGGGTGGGAGCTAAAGAAGTTTCTGCTTGAGTCTGCTATTCCCCGAGTGGTGCTGAACAGACCGCAGGGAGACTGCTGGAGACCAGCCCCCTCCGGTCCCCAGTGACCTGGGGGCCCCTGTCATGTCCTGGGCTGAAAGGGCCACAGGGAGGTCAGGCCAGTCCTGGAGCCCATCTGGGGCTGGCTCAGAAGCCTCTCCTAGGATGAGGCGATGCTGGCAAGTGTCCCGAGTGTCACATGCTCAGGGGCCAACCCAGGGCAGCCCAGCGCTGGGGCAGCAGCCCCCTGTCATTCCGCCAGTTCCAAGGCAGTCACCTAGCATGTAGCAGATTCGAGACTCTGGGATCCTCTTCATCAGCCGCCCCATGAAGAACTCGGAGCCGAAGAGCTCAGAGGGGACGAAGGCCCCGTATTTCTGCAGGCCCACCTCATAGGGGGAGAACTCGAACCACTCTGCACATGAAGCAGCAGGACAGGGGGTCTGTCTCAGGCCAGGAGCCGTCCACACAGCCCAGTCCCCTCTCGCCTGCAGGCACTGGTTCCTGGGCCCGGAGGAGCCAGGGACTGGAAGGCCACAGTTCCCCCAAAGGACACATGGGGGCACCCTTGGCCAGCTTCCACTGGCATGGCGATGCTCAACTTTGCAACAGGGACGGGACTGTTCATTTGCACCTCAGAGACTGCTGAACAGGACAAAGAGTGACCCTGAAGCAGGTCTCTTGAGTCCCTCCCTTTGGGCAGGTTAGAAATATCTTCCTTTCATGACCTTTCTCTTCCCCAGTCCCATCAAACATGTGCCCAGGGAAGCTGCAAATGGCATCTGCCAGCCTCACCCATGCAGCAGGGCAGACTGGGATAGCAAAGGTGATTTCTCAGGCCGTGGGTACAGTCTGAACATAGGTTGGCAAAGATGGGTGGGATTGGGGAACCTGGAGGTGCTGGGTGCCTCTGCCCACCAAGAAGGGACTCCCTACTTATAAATCACCAGCCAGTGGTGTTACCTCTGAAGTCCTGGTTGCTTACATCATCCTTGACATTGATGGTGAGGTAGATGGGCAGGGGGTTCTGGCCGCAGCTCAAAGCAGCACGCTGATCTGACAGTTTGCATTCATTTCTCTGCGGGGAAACGGAATGGTTAAAGAGAAGCAGCAGCCCGGGGGCTGGGGAGACAGTGCAGAATGAGGGGACAATCTGGACCCCTGCAGCTGGCTTCTGGCTCCTGAGCTCACCAGGCTGCTGTATAGGCCCCAGCAGACACCAGCCGAAGCACCCTTAAAAGGCACGTGTGGCATGCACACCACCTCCTTGGGCTGTCCGCCACCGGATAGGGGCCGGGACCGGGACTGGATCTGCAGTTCAGGACAGTCCCTCCAGGTCTTGGTCTCAGGGGCCAGCAGATAAAAAGGAAGGGGTGGGAGAGGCTGACACTGCCCCTCTTCTGCCCCATCGTCTTCCCTCTGCTAGAACTGGAGCAGCTCCAGTTTTTTTTTTTTTTTTTTTTTTTAATCAATTTGGCATGTTGAGCTCCCTCAATTGATGGGTAAAAAGTTGAGGGGAAAAAAAGTTTCCCTCCCTCCTTCCCTCCTTCCCTCCCTCCTCCCTCCCTCCCTCCTCCACCTCTCCTCCCTCTTCCCTTCCCCTCTCTTCTCTTCCCCGCTTCCCTCCCCTCCCCTTCCACCTCCCCTCCCCTCCCCTTCTTCCCTTTCTTCCTTTTTTTAACAAAAGACTTAGGACTTGAGCACTAGATGGTGGCTGAGGTCCCTCTAATCACCAGAGTGGGGAGCCTTGCAGATCAGCCCAGACCACAGGCGACCTCCCAAAGTGAATCAGCCACTGCAGATAAGGCAGAATCAAGGTCTTAGAGGGCCAGATTCTGACCCCAGCCCAACCAGCTGACTTCTGGGTGACCAACCCTTGTCACCCAAGTGTACAAAGGCTACAGAACCCGTGTGGGACGGCGAACACATGTATATGCCCAATGACATGTGGGTATCCTTTGAAAGCAAGCAGGGTCATAACTGGGCCCAGAGATCTGGGCGTCACAGAGCCGGCAGTCCTGGAAGTAAAGTTGCAGGCTCAGGGAAGAGCCAGTCCACATTCACTGTCGAGGGGACCCAAGGGCCGGGGGCTCCTGTTGTGGGCAGAGGGTAAGAGCAGAGGTCTCCCAACATCAACCCTGCCCTTGCTTTCCTGGGAACCCAGCTCCTTCCCACCAAACCCCCAGAATGCCAAGACTCCTGATACAGGAAGACTCAGTGCTTCTCCTTATCATATGCGGCACTCACGATTGTTAGAATACTGTTGAAAATGTTAACTGGCACTTATTGATGCAATCCCCACTTAAGGAATAGCAAAGAGCAGGGCCTGGATTTCAACCCCCTCCTGCCTGAATCCCAAAGCCAACACCCTTGGCCTCTGCCTGCTCCCCTTAACTGGGGGGAGGACAGGCTAGGTGGTGGGCTACACAGGGGCAGGGTGGGTGGGATCCACCAGGAGTGGTGAGTGCCTGGGGTTGGAAGCCACGTCTGATTCCTTTCTGAATCCCCATTTGCCAGGGCACTTCCTGGCATGCAGGAGGTACTCCGTTAATTTAATTGAAAGAATGCGGGAAGACTAAAGATGAGGATCAGGTCGTTCTCAGGTGCTCAAACTGTCTGGCTTTCTGGAAGATGGGACCAACTATTATAACAAATAATTTGCAGCAATAATTTTCTGGCAAGTCCTGATTTAAATTCAGAACTCTCCAGACACCTTTTGAGTGGAGCAGAGAACCATGGGCCTGGCAGAGGTCAGGTGGGAAGCTCTGCTTTGGGGCCATGCAACAGCCCAAGTTGGTTCATCTCGGCCTGTGCAGCCTAAAGCGCACAGATGTCAGCTGAGCCCGCCCTGCGGTCCAGAATCACAACACCCCTTGGGGATCCCTCTGCTCTGCCATGTGTCCAGGAAGAGGACCAGCCTGTGTTGGGTCACAGCTCTCACAGCAGCAGCCACCCCACACAGGCCGCTCCTCTTCTTGGACACATAGTAGTCAGATCACTGGATCTCAGAATAGGAAGGAACCTCATTGGGCCCATTGGTGGTTGTGAGAACAAGTCCTGCAGACCTCCAACTACAGAGTGTTATTGACTAAGGATCCCAGCTGCTGTGTTCTGAAATCCACAGCTGAGTCTGTGCTGAGGCTGGCACTTCCTGTGCCTGAGTGTGGCAGGGTTACCGAGGCTGGCCTGTTCTGGGGGATGCAGGACTCCCGTGACAGCCAGCTGCAGCCGGAGAACCCTGCAAGGACCTTGTAGGACACACCGCGGTCTAGAACGCTTCCACCCGACCTTTCTTCCTCTCCCCACTCCTAGGGTCAGCCTCGCTTCACAGTGTCGTGCTCTCCAGTCTTCCCCGGCTCCTCCCCGTGTTTCCCTCACAGGTGTCTTGGCATGGCTCTCAGAGGATGTGCTACCTCTCGGCAGGGTTGCCTCCAACATGAGGGTCTCAGCCGTCCTCTAAAGATGCACCGGAGACAACCCCACCACCTCCCTCTGGCGTACATTCTGACACCTTATGGGTCTTCCAGCCCAAGGATACGTCCACAGGTCTAACCTAACTCCCTGTGAGCAATGGAAGTCTTGACTCCCCTGAGGATGAAAGCGAGGCGGACGTCAGCCAGGGCAGGGTGGGGCCCGGGACAAGCTGAGCACCTACCTCGTCCCCCAGGCAGGCCTCTATCAACAGGCCCCAGAAGTCGGTGAAGGTGACCTTGTAGCCTTCCTGGCTGCGCTGCCGCAGCTCCTCCTGGAATTTGAAGAGCTGGTCTGGAAACAGGTAGGGTAGCTTGTCCTTTACCACGTGTCTCCGGGCCTCGAAGATAGCCGGCTCCAGGTTTTTGGAGGACCAGTCAGGGTCACGGTACAAGGTAGCCATGGTCCTGCAGAGGGACAGGCACGGCTGATAGGGCTGCCCCAGCCCCTGTCTCATCAGTCCTGGACCTGGGCAGGAAGGCAGGCAGGCAGGACATTGGGAGCCCTAACCTGCCAGGAGGGGAAGCTGGAGGAGGAGGGGCGAGGCAGAGGCCTGGCAGGTGGCGCCGAGCAGGGAAGGTGAACACTATTACTCATAATCAAAAGTGCTACCAGTTCTCCAATGCCCACTGTGTGCCAGGTACAACAGCGGTTAAGATGAAGCTTCTGGATCCAGATCTTTCTGGATCAAACAAGGTCTCATCCTCACTAGCTGTGTGAGCTTGCAAAAGCTACTTAATCACTGTTCCCTTCAGTTCACCTGTCTGTGGAATGGGGAGAATTACAATAATTGTACCCACTTCATGGAGTTCTGGTGACGATTCCATGCACTGAAGTTATGCCGCATGGTTAGAACAGTGGGTGGCACAAAATAAACGCTGAAGCCGACGTTTAAACCCAGGCTTGGCTGACTTCAGGTCATGGGTACTTTCTACTCTGCCACGTGAATTCCCATAATTCTGATGTTGACTGAAGATTTATTTCCCTTTCTCTTTTTATCTTACAGGTTGGCTGTTGGGGTAGCAAAACAAAGAGGTGATCCCACTAGCCTGGGTCTGGCCTCCGTCTGCCTGTCCTTGGCCTGGATCCAGCTTTTCTACGTGAGGACAGGAAAGGGTCCATTTCATTCTGTGCCTGAGAACTACCACCCTGGCAGGGGAGCTAGTCTGCAGCTGTGCATTTATAGAAACAGCGGCCTCTTCCCTCACAGAACTTGTTTTTGGAAGGTGGGAGGTAGTCAGGAGATTTTTTCAAGCACCCTGCTCTCCATAAGCTTCACCCATTAATTTTATACTACTCTAAAAGAGCTTCCAGAAACCATTGCAAATGAGTTTTTAAAAGAATACGGCTTGTGCTTGCCCCAGGCCAGGGGACCGCACCCATCCCACGCCAGCTCGGCCTGAGTTCATCCTGTTTCCTCTCTACCCCACAGTAATCCAGGAGGATGCAGGAGCCCCTCAACCTGCCGTAAGCAAGTTACCTTCTTAACTTGCTACCCGGGCAGCCATGTGGCATGGAGGTTAAGGATGTGGGCCCGGGAATGGGTTCAGATTCCGCTCCACTGCTTTATTAGCTGAGTGTCCCTGGCAAATTGCTTTGTTTCTCCAGCTGAAAAATGACAGCACCTCCCTCATAGTTTTTTGTGAGGAAGAAATAAAAAAGCCGTAGGAAGCTGACAGAGGCAAATGGCCTCTTCTGTCCCATCTGGGCTGATGCCTCTGCCCGCGGGGGACGCGTGTGGCACAGGAGTCCTTGGATTCCCCAGGCCCATTCACATCCACTTGCTCACGTGGGGGCTACTCAGGGCTCCTCCAGTATACAAGGCACAGCAAGTGATCTCAGGGTTCACAGGCCCACCAGTCATAGACAGTCATGGCCCTGTTTGATATGCCTAGCAGGCCACCTTGACCCAGGGCCACAGGAGGACTTTGATGGGCCCCACAAAAAATATTTACTTATTTTTAAATTTTGTTCTTTTAGAGATAGGACCTCCCTATGTGGCCCAGCCTGGTCTTGAACTCCTGGCCTCAAGCAGTCCTTCTGCCTCTGCTTCCCAAAGTGCTGGGATTATAGGCATGAACCACCATACCTGGCCACATAAAAAATATTAAAATTTGTATTTAATGACTGTGTTGTATGAAGACAAATATATTCACATTATTTATTAAAACATTTTCTTCAACCTTTAAGTTGGTTAATGAAAGGATTCAGATTTTTTTTTTTTTTTTTTTTTTTGAGACGGAGTTTCGCTCTTGTTACCCAGGCTGGAGTGCAATGGCGCGATCTCGGCTCACCGCAACCTCCGCCTCCTGGGTTCAGGCAATTCTCCTGCCTCAGCCTCCGGAGTAGCTGGGATTACAGGCACGCGCCACCATGCTCAGCTAATTTTTTGCACCATTAGTAGAGACGGGGTTTCACCATGTTGACCAGGATGGTCTCGATCTCTTGACCTCGTGATCCACCCGCCTCGGCCTCCCAAAGTGCTGGGATTACAGGCTTGAGCCACTGCGCCCGGCCAGGATTCTGATTTTAAAAGAAATTCACCTATTTTTGTGGGCCCCTAAAAGTGCAGTGGACCACAGACACCATGCTTTCTGTGGGTAAGCTGACCTCACCCTGGCCTCCCATGGGGAAGCCCAGTGCTCAGCATCCGGCCGTGCCCACCAGCAGAGGGTGAGCAGGAGGGAGCTCAGCCGCAGGGCCCTGCCCATTGCATGTCCCCAGCAGCATGGGGTCATGTTCCTGAGTCCATACCACAGCCCTGGGGAAACAGTAACACCAGGAAAGGCCAGTGCATAAGGTGTCTCTGGCATACTTAGTGGGAGAGCCTCTTACAGCCACCGCATGAGGTCAGAGCTATTGTTATCCCCACTGTGCAGACGCAGAAACTGAGCCTTCTAGGAGTCAGGCTGGATGCCCAAGGCCACACCGCTGCACGTGGGGCGCTCCCTAGGCTTCAGGAGTCACTTTATCTTGGGGTGGGAGGTGGGAGGAGCTTCACCTGAGACCCAAGGCCAGCCTGTTGCGGCTCGCTCTGGGCTCCACAGACAGTGGCTCTAGCGTCCTTACCAGGTTGCCCCCGACAGGCCAGTGATGTAGCTGGCACAGTCCAGGAGGTTCAGCTTCTGCAGCCCCAGCAGGTGGCCATACATGGCGGTCATGGATCTTGTTCCACCCCCAGTGGCCATGATGGCTATCAGCGGCACCTGGGGGACACAGAGGCAGGTGTTTGGGGAAGGCTCCAGAGCCAAGACTGGGGAGAAGACTTAGAATGACAGCAGCTTCGAAGGAACAATGGAGGAAGCAGAGCTGGCTACAGAGGGCAGGGGTGCGGCGTTGAGTTACCTGAAGCCTGCCTTTCCACAGAGCAGTGGGTCTAGAAATAGACCTCAGCTCCGGTGTCAGTGAAGGACTCTGCAGCCTAACACAGGCTTGGTGAACCACAGAAAGCTGTGTCTACAGAATTCTTAGCACTGTTACTCCAGCTCTCAGTTAACAGATGATAAAACTAGGGTTCAAGGCGGGTGGGCAGCTTCTTCAAGACCCCTACTAATGTGTGATCCCTCAGTGGGACAAACCAACATCTTCTGTAGCTGGATCTGGTGTAAGGCACCAGGCTGGCAGATGGCATCTTCTCAGCAGGTACTGTGCTGGTAATGCCAAGAGTCAATGGACTGGTGAAGTGGGAAGGAGCAGGGTTGCCAGCTCTGGGTTGACGGCGGTTTAAGAGGCCCCTGGAATGTTTTCCTAAAGATAGGGCCAGGCACAGTGGCTCACATTTGTAATCCCAGCATTTATGGAGGCCGAGGCGGGCAGATTAGATTGCTTAAGCCCAGAAGTTCAAGACCAGCCTGGGCAACACAGGGAAACCCCATCTCTACAAAAAAAAAAAAAAAAAAAAAAAGGAAAAATCTGCCAGCCATAGTGGCTGGTTCCTGGAGTCCCAGCTACTAGGGAGATTAAGGTAGGAGGATTTCTTGAGCCTGGGAGGTGGAGGCTGCTGTGAGCTGTGACGGTGCCACTGTACTCCAGCCTGGGCAACAGAGCAAGAAGCTGTCACCCTCCCAAAAAAAGAGGAGGAAGGAAAGGGCTCTTTGTCAAGACTTACTCTGTGTGTTTCATTTGAGTTGGGGCTGTAAGAGCCTTCCATTGGCTAAAGCCCTATCATAAGTCCTCCTCGGGCATGTGCCAGGCCTCTGTCCTCACCTATGGTCAGCCTCAGAAGGCAGGCACTTGGAGGAATTGCCTGCTGCCCAGGGGAGTGTGGGCCTTGGTCCATGCAAGGGAGGCAACCGAGGGCTCTGGCAGAGGCGCCATCGTCTGCTCCTGTGGGAAGAAGGGACAGGCCCTAGGGGTGCAAGCTGCTTCTCTCCAGCTTCCTAGCACTGATACTGCTGGGAGCGTGTCTACCTGTGTGGATCTGAGAAGAGAGATAACTGGGGAAAGAAGGATCTAAAGCCTTTTGGGTGGACGTGTGGGGTGCAGGAGGTGGTACAGCTTAACATGTTTTCTTGGTGGGGATGAGGAGGGTATTTTGTCCCTGGGTAAGGCTGCTTTAGCCAGTGCAGGAGCTCTCAGTGCTTGGGAGGAGCCGCTGGGGCTCTCCCCTTCCTTTGTGAATATAAAACAGAGTCACTTCCAGCACAGCTGTCACCTGCCTGAACCTCAGCAGTAAGAGCTGAGGTTACTCTTCGATGGAGTTGGTGCGTGGGGCAGGGCAGGGCCTGGGTTGGCTGGCAGGGTGAGGTGCTGGAAGGACCAGCTGGGCCCAGGCTGGCCACCCCTAATTACCCACCTCATCCTCCTGCAGATCCTCCTCCAGCTGCAGCACCTGCTTTAGGGCTTTGGCCGCCACCACTTTCCGCTTCTGCAGAAACTCCAGCTCTTCTGAGCACAGGCTGAAGCCCAGCCGCACGTCCAGTGTTTCAGGGCTGGAGGGAGAGAGGACCCTGTAGTGGGCCTGCAGTCTCTACCTTCCCAGAATAGACACGGCTTTAGGGTCCATTGGACCTAGGCCCAAAGCCTAGCTCTGCCGTGGGCCACTTCTGTGACCTGGGGTCTCCACTTTCTCAACTGTAAGGTGGGGCGAATCATACTGAACTCTCAGCACTGTCGGCAGCACTTAAAGAGATAACAAATGCAAAGCCCCCAAAGCCTTGGCAGGCACAGTGCGAGCTGGTACTCAACAAAAGGTAACTGTTGGCACTGCATTAGGGACGCTTTGAGTCCTCTGTCTCCTCGGCCAGATCTGGAAAGTCCAGGAAGCCTTCCCCAGGGGGCTTCTCTAGCCCAGGGCCAGGCACGGCGACAAGAGGCCCTGAGATCATTTTGCCAGATCCCTCTGAACAAGCTCCCACAGTATGGACTCTTCTGTACTAGATAAACAAACTCCCTGTTCCTATGGAGCTCACATTCTTCAATGAGCTCTTCCTGCTCCTAGAATGATGATTATCCTATGTGTGTGTGCAACTGACAAAACCATCCCATCCCTGATCTCACTGTGTTAGCTCACAGGTCTGCAGGCAGGTGGGGCAGAAGCTTGTGACATGCCCAGTGCTTGCCCTCTTTTTTTTTTTTTTTTTAAATCACATCCCTGTCCCAAGGCTCCTGGCCTGGCATCCAAGGCCCTGCTTAACCTTTCCAAGCTCACCGGAAGCTACCCTCAGAGCTGCTGGGTTAGGTCTCAGAGCCCCCAGAAGCAGTCCCGTTTCCAGGCCTTGGCACAGGCCCCTGCCTTCACCAGAACTGTTCTCCCTTTGCCCACCTCCAGCCTGTGCATCCTCCGAGGCCCAGCTCCCCAGTGGCTGCAGATAGATAGACCTTGACCATTTCCGACTGAGCCTGGGCTCACTAATAAAGCCACATCTCCTTGAAGACAGGGCCTGGGAGATTTCCATCATGTCTCCTCTTGTCTAGCACAGGGCTGCAGACACGGCTGCTAGAAAATAATTCTTTCTTTGGCCTCAGCAGGGAATGAGTAACAGTACAACAATAATAGCAGGAACAGTTGAGTTTGCTGAGCGTCCCACTTGCCATGTGGATCACTGAGCACTTCGCATGTGCTGCCTCGCTGGATCCTCAGAGCAACCCGGTGATGCACAGGATCCTTACTATGCTCCCAATGCACAGAGGAGGAAAGCGGAGGCTCAGTGAGGGCAAAGGACTTGTCCAAGGGCAAATAGCTCATCAAAGTGTAAACAGAAATCACGGCCACTTGATTTCTGACAGTCAAGATTTCTGACAACGATGTTGTTTTCAGCAGATGGTGCTGAGACAACTGGATATTCACCTGCCAAAGAATGAGGTGGAGCCCCTCTTTCACACTGTAGAGATAAATTAACTAAAAATTGATCACAGACCTAAATGTGAGAGCTAAAACTATACAAGTCTTAGAAAAAAACATGGAAATACATTTTCAGGACCTTGGTGGTGGGTGGTGACTCACGCCTGTAATCCTAGCACTTTGGGATTTGGGAGGCCGAGGTGGGTGGATCAATTGAGGTCAGGAGTTTGAGACCAGCCTGGCCAATATGGTGAAACCCCACCACTACGGAAATACAAAAGTTAGCCAGGTGTGATGGTGTGCACCTGTAATCCCAGCTACTAGGAAGGCTGAGGCAGGAGAATCGCTTAACCTGGGAGGCAGAGGTTGCAGTGAGTCGACATTGTGCATGCTGCACTCCAGCCTGGGCGACAGTGAGACTCCGTCTCAAAATAAAATAAAATAAAATAAAAAATAAAAACTTCAGAACCTTGGATTAGGCAATGATTTCTGGTTTCTTAGATGTGACACCAAAAGCACAAATGGCAAGACAAAAAAAAAAAAAATGTCATCAGAAGTAAAGTCCTTTATGTTTCAAAGGACACCACCAAGAATGTGAAAAGATAAACCATACAATAAGAGGAAATATTTGCAAATCATATATCTGACAAGGGATTTGTATCTGAAATACGTAAAGCACTTTTACAACTTAACAATAAAAACATGAATAACCCACATAAAAAGTGGGAAAAGAATCTGAATAGAAACGTCTCCAAAGAAGAGATGGCAACCAGCCCGTGGAAGGATGGTCAACATCATTAGGCATGGGGGAAATGCAAATCAAAACCACAATGAGATACGACTCCACACCCACTAGTGTGAATAAGTGAGAGCCACAGACAGAATGAGAGTACCGTACCAGGGTGTAGACTTCACGTGTAATTCATAACTCTTGTCCTGGGGAGGGAAAAATGTAAAGCTTGTCAGAGGTGACAGTTAAGAGCCAAGTGGCCCCAGATCCATACTATCCAACCAGACCCCACGCGGCACACACGCACGCATACACAAGCGCTCTATCCCCGCCTCCCTTTTCTGGACACGATCTCCCTACCATCTCCAACTCTGCCTCCATATGATCTTTGGACCACATTGTAGCTTGTCAATCTCCTGCCCCGCAAGATTCCTCCATCCTACCTGAGAGCGACTCTTACGAGCCACCTTCTCTCTTGTACCCCCCAGGCTCTCCCCATCTCCCTGCCACAGGAGCTCCAGGGGAAGTAACTCAAGGGCCCCTTCCCAGACCCAGGCACTCACCACAGGCAGGGTCATCTCCTGACCATCCGAAAGGCAGTCGAGGGGCTGGCTGATAGGGCTATTCTTGCGAGAGCCGTAGCAGCAAAGCTGGAGAGATGGGCAGGCTCTGTGAGAGGGGCTGCGTGCCTCCTCTGGCACCCCCCACCTTCCCTGGTCCCCCACACCTCCCCTGGTGGCCACCGCCTTGTACCCCACAGCTCCAGTGGCTCTTGGGCACTTCCACGTGCACCCGGGACTGGAAGTACTTAGGGTAGTGGAAGCAGGCAGAGGTTGGGCTGCAGGGGTCCGAGCAGGGCCGGACGTGCTGGGTGTTCTCAAAGGACTCGCTCACCATCACCAGGAGGTTCTTTGCTGGGAGAGAGGACAAGAGGGTGAGATCCCGGGAGCCTCTCGCTCCCGACCCCCACTTGGTCCAGCAGAAAGCCTCTCAGGAGGCGTCCAGGAGGAGTTTAGAATCACCTGGGGCACTGTTCAAATGCCCCAGAGTCTCAATCTATAGGATAGGGCAGGGCCCAGGAATCTGCATTTTAATGAGGTTTATGAGGATGCGGACAAACATGGTTCCCAGAAAACCCTTTACGATGCTGAGAAGGTGCTCAGGACCAGTTCTTGGCTCAGTTTTGCTAGAAGATGCCCCAAAGTCACCTGCCCACTGCAGAGGAGGCAGGCCCTCAGCACACTGCCGGTTTTGGGGTAGAGGCCTCTTCCATCTGCCCTCCCTCCCTCCTCATGTCTGGTACCCTTCCATGGGCAACACGGGGTGGGGTGGGGTAGGGTGGGGAGTAGGGTCGGGGGGTCTGGTATTTGCGGATCTCTTAGGTCTCTGCCAGCTATAAAGTGCCAGGACTCTGTGAACTGCGGTCTGCCTAGAGGAAGGGGCATAACTAGAGGGGCCCTGGGCATCAGGTGCTGACCACCTCACTGATCCAGGCCACCCGAGGTCCTGGCAGGGTACAGCACAGACAAGTGTGGACAGAGGGGGCAGCACTGGGACCCCAGACCTGGGATGCTCATCAGGCCTGGGAACGCCAAGCTTATGTGGGTGCTTGGGAGAACATGCCCTTTACTGAGCAGACTGGGAGGTCAGGGGCTCATAACCCCTGGAGGTGAGATGATTCTGAGGAGTCCTGGCCAAGTGTTTGGTTCCCCCTGAGCCAGGGAAGCCCCCGACTAGGCGGAGTCTGATGCTGATGGGATTTGGAAGGAGCTCCCCTTTGTCCCCCAGTAGGCAGAAAAGGCAAAACGGCTCACTTTTCTCCCTCTTCTTCCACCTCCTGTACTGTGCATGAACCTCCAGGCAGGAGACTTGTCGAGACTGTAAAAAACAAGAGAGGGTCACTGAGCATCTGAGCACCAGCCACCTCCTCCCTCTTCTGGGCTGAAGGGAGGAGATGAGGGACCAGCAGATAAATTCAGCATTGGTTTGACTGGGCTGATGCTGGGGAATGCAGGGTGTATTAAGCACAATTTCTGAACCCCATCAAGCCATGTCATCTCACTCAGAGAGAGGATGCTTGACCATGAAGCTGGCCTAGGATGTCTAGGATCCACAGTCACAGTTTACTAGGGGTCTGGTCCTTGGTTGCGGGTCGGGGATCTGGCCTGAGGGAATGTTCGACTCTGGACTTTCAAAGAGAGAGCTTCCAACAAAATAGCCTTGTCAAGATGGAGAGGCAGATCATCCTCCTTTGCCACAAATTCCCAAAGACTCTTTTTTTTTTTTTTTGAGGGAGAGGTCTCCTTGAACCCTGGGGCACTGGATGCATTTAATTAAAATAGCTGTAGCAACAGCTGAATTACGAATTTTTGGTTTTGACACAGGGTTTTGCTCTGTCACCCAGGCTGGAGTGCAGTGACACAATCAAAGCTCATTGCAGCCTCCACCTGCTGGGCTCAGGCAATCCTCCCACCTCAGCCTCCCGAGTAGCTGGGACTACAGACACATGTTACCATGCCTGGCTAATTTTTGTATTTTTTTTTTTTTGTAGGGATGGGGTCTTACTATGTTGCCCAGACTGGTCTTAAACTCCTGGGCTCAAGTGACCCTCCTACCTTGGCCTCCCAAAGTGCTGGGGTTATAGGCATGAGCCATCATGCCTGGCTATGAAACAATTTTTAATACAGAAATTGTGATTGTAGGCCGGGCGATTGTGATTATAGGTGGCTCATACCTATAATCGCAGTACTTTGGGAGGCTGAGGTGGGTGGATTGCTTGAACTCCAGAGTTTGAAACCAGCCTGGGCAACATGGTGAAACCCTGTCTTTGCATAATACAAACTAATAGCTAGGTGTGGTGTTGTGCTTGAGCTGGGGAGGCGGAGGTTGTACTGATCTGAGATAGCACCACTGCCCTCCAGCCTGGGTGACAGAGTGAGAACCCATCTCAAAAAAAAAAAAAAAAAAAAAAAAGAAAAGAAAATTGTGCTTGTAAAATTACTGGGGTTATGGGGTACAGGACCAAGACTGAGTCTGAGAGGAGGCCACACTTGGGCTCTTTTATTGGGGAGGTTCTCAAGGGGAGGGTCATCTTTGTGGGATATGGGGTGCCAGGCCAGTGTGATGTCCCAGCTACCTCCTCCCTTTGTACAGAAGTCCCAGCTGGTGCCCCAGGGCTGCCTGCGCCCCATCTGGCTGGCCTCGGTTAGTCTAACTCCTGCAGGGCTCGGGATGGGACAGGGACCAAGCTAGGCCCAGTGTCTTCTCCCTTGGTTCTGTTTCCCTGAGTGTAGCAGCCAGCTGTGGCCTCTGAAGCAACAGGAACCCAGGAAGACAATTACCACCAGCACGCCATTGGTGACGAGGTTCTCGGGTGCAGAGGGGCTGCAAAACAAAAGAACTCCTGGTCAGTTCTAGCATTCTTGGCTGGATTCTTCTAAAGGCGACAAAGGGAATACATAGGGTCAGCAATGAAATGACAGAGCCTTCTTTGTTCTCATAAAAAATATTAGCCACAGAAACCTTAGCTTTATAGATTGTCAGGGAGGAAACTGGCATAGATTTGAAACAAAATGTCCTGATAAAAAAACAGATTTATAGGTTAGTTGAGTAGAAGAGTTCTATTCTTTTTTTTAAAGGAAAAATTTTTTTTATGTCCAACCAGATGCAACTGCATGGGGTTAGAATGACTAGGTTGCAAGAAATGGCTGCAGCCCACCAGCTAGAGAACACATCAACAGTTTGGTAGCAAAAAAATCATCCTTTTGGGCCGGGCGCGGTGGCTCACGCCTGTAATCCAAGCACTTTGGAGGCCAGGGCGGGCGGATCACCTGAGGTCGGGAGTTCAAGACCAGCCTGACCAACATGGTGAAACCCCGTCTTTGAAAAAAATAAAAATAAAAAATAAAAAATAAATCATCCTTTCTCCATTCTGTGCTTTTAATTTATGCATTTAACAATCCGACCCAGCCGAGAGGGTGAATGTTAAATGTCCTTGTGTTATAAAGTCGAGAACATAAGCCTCCAAGGTTTCAATTAGCCTGGCAGAGTCCACAGCATCCCTTGTCAAAATTAAGCCCAAGATGACTGCGTCTCCAGATCAGCTCGGTTGTGTTGAGACAGAGTCTTGCTCTATTGCCCAGTCTGGAGCTCAGTGACACAGTCTAAGCTCGCTGCATCGTCTGCCTTCTGGGTTGAAGTGATTCTCCTGCCTCAGTCTCCTAAATAGCTGGGATTACAGGTGCACACCGCCACGCTGGGCTGATGTTTTGCATTTTAGTAGAGACAGAGTTTCACCAGATCAACTCTTATTACCAAGCATAACGTGTTTCATTTTGCAAGCCCTAATTCAGCCCAGAAGTTTTCCCCGCCCTCTAAAAATCCTGTCAAATCAGGAATGGGAAGGGAGAGTTTTGATTTTCTTCCATGTGAAATAAATAAAGTCGATTTTAATTTGCCAATCAGTTGTTGATAGGAAGTAAGTTCCCTCACATAGTTTGAAGATAGATCCCCTAGGCAGAAGATTCTTTGAGTGGCAGCTGACGAGCCCTCTGGTCCTGTCTCCCACCTGTCATTCTCCTCCTGTGCCTGGGCTCATCACAAGGTGAAGAGGGAGGAGAGAGGAACCAGCTGCCCAGTTACAGCCTGCCTGCCTGCCTGCTTTTCCTCTTTGTTCTCTCCTTCCAGACCTCCAGCTCTGTGGTCCTTGGTACAGTCATATCTCCAGGACCCTGAGTCATTTTCCTAATTGAAAATGATTGGGGCAGGGCATGGTGGCTCATGCCTGTAATCCCAATACTTTGGGAGGCCGAGGCGGGTGAATCACAAGTTCAGGAGTTCGAGAACAGCCTGGCCATTATGGTGAAACCCTGTCTCTACTGAAAATACAAAACTTAGCTGGGCGTGGTGACGCATGCCTGTAATCCCAGCTACTAGGGAGGCTGAGGGAGGAGAATCGCTTGAACCTGGGAGGCAGAGGTTGCAGTGAGCTGAGATTGCACCACAGCATACCAGCCTGGGCAACAGAGTGAGACTCTGTCTAAAAAAATAATAATAAATAATAATAATAATATAATAATAAGGGAATGATTGGCAACAACCCTGCAAGGTGGGCCTGAGCCTCCCACTGACTTGGTTTCCAAGTTGGCTGCAGAGGGGGCAGCCTCCGCTTGAGGCCAGGGTTTGGGGTGTTTGTTCTAACAGTTCTAGTCAAGGAGGAGACCCCTGGCCTCTGACCTCCTTCTCAGCTGGGCCTCAACAAGGCCCCTGTCACCATGGTAGCAGGAACTCTTCCTGGAAGCCACCCCCAGGACTCCATCTGGCCAGAGCGCTAGATCTTTAAAGCAATGCTGAGTGCAGCAGAGCTGGGTAAGTGCGGTGGGTGGGGCCCCGGCTCCTACACTGTGGAGCTCCCGGTGATTCTGATGCGCAGTGACGAGTCAGGGTTAGTTCCAGGAGTGAGACTGGAAGAGGGTGGGCGGCAAAAGGGCCGACTTGACTCTGAAATGCTCGTTGCCAGAAGTCAGGACCTTGGTGGGCCCCGGCGCCCCAGCCTACTCACCTCTCCTCCAGCAGGAATTCCACCTCCAGCTCTTCCATGCCCTGGTGGGGAGGAAGGGAAGGCGGCTGTGAGCGGCGTCTGCACATCTCTGTCGACCAGAACCCTCTGCCGCCGCGGGAGCCCTGAGGACCCGCCTCCATCTTTCCCCCACGGCTGCCCTGCTGCATGGAGTGCACCTGCAGTCTCCTTTGCCAATCTCTGTCTGCAAGTCTTTGATATCAGGAGCTTTCCTGACAGCCCAGGGGAGATCGGGGAGTGGAGCCGACCCCCAACCCCAGCATGTGCATTCCTCTGCCCCAGAATGGCTCCCTTCTGTCACTTCCCTGATTCCCACCACTCTCCTACCTTCCCAAGGGGCTCAGTGCCTGTGGCTAAGGAGCGCTGAGATGCGCCTTCAGAAAGCCCGTTCCTTCCCTCACGGAGTCCTTCACACCTCTTGCTGTGTAACCAGAGGCAAGCTGGGGCTTCACTGGGCCTCACTTTCCCCACCGGAATATAAGCTAGGTGAGGGCAGAGATGGTAGTTCCAGAGGGGACCCAGTGCCTGGAATAGTGCCGGCCCCTCGCAGCCACTCAAGTGCTGGTTGAATGATTGAATTGACAGCATCCTGGGGGCTCCAGCTCTGACTGTCTCTGATCTGCAGATTCAACTGCCTTTACCCTCATTTGTCCTCTGTTCCTGGGACCACCCCAGCAACGGGACTTGCAGGAAAGAAAAGGAGGAAGGGGAACCCGAACTTACTGCATCTCCACTGTGGCCTGTGAATCTTGCTAGGTACCTGGGTTATGGTTTCTCATTTAAGTCCGACAACAACCTTATGTGGTAGGTATTATTATCAGCATTGTGGAGATGAGGGAATAGGAACTCAGGAAGTGATTTTTACAGCCTCCCACAGTGAGTGACAGGGCTGGGATTTAAGCCAGCAGCACCATCTTTTCTCGACTTGACTGTGTGCACAGAGAAGGTCCTGGGGAATGGCTTTGTGGGAAGAAGTGGCAGCTCTGAGGTTATGATGAGGGCGGAGTCTCAGAGCCTGGACCCCTGCACCCACCTGTGGGTTGAGAGGAAACTTCACGTGGGTTTTCTTTCGGAAACAGAGCTTGGTGAGGTCATAGAGAACTGTCAAGAGATGGTCATCTGGTGTCACTGTGTCTTCATCACACACACTCAACTCTAGCACGTTCTAGGGGACAAGGAAGGACACCGGTCCAGTCACCACGGTTGCATTGAGCCCTTCCCAGAATGAGGAGCCTGACCTCTGTCCTAGCAAGGAGGTAGGTCTGAGGGATGAGAACCAGGCCAGAAGTCCCTTCTCAGACATGAGAAACGCATGGTGGAAAAGGAATCGAGGATGGAAGGCATCTATCCCCTCCTTTCCAACTCCCCGAAGCCTTCGTGGCCCTCTGCTCTCACTCTCCTACTAGAGAATTTTGCCTGTTTTACAAGCTTGGCAGAGACCTATGAAGTGTGGAAGGATTTCATTTCACCTGAGGGGACAGATGGACGGGAAAGAGCAAGAAGCAAGACCCCTGCCAGGATATAGAATGTGGCCAGCACTGGGCCCTTGGGCCTGAAGACAGCCCCTTTGGTGCTAGAAAATCCAGATCAGGGAAGCTAACATCTAAAACTCCAGGGAGTGAGGTGGCGAAGCTTGTAGGGGTTCTGATAATTGGTGGGGTTGGTGTGAGGTCTGTGAATGCTATCCTTTGACTCATCAGCCCCTAGAAAGTTCTCATGGATGGCCTCAAAGCCGCTATCCTGTCATCTAGCTGAACTCTGAGGTCAATGTTCTCAGGTGACCTGGACTAACCTCCGAGGCCTCTTGATCCGAGGATCCTGGGAGATGCAGGTTGAGGGTGGGCCTACCTCTGAAACCCATCTAGTGGACATAGGTTGTTCTGGGGGTTCCCAACGGGATGTAATTGCTGACCTTGTAATTACTAGAACCAACCCAGCTGCTCCACAATCAAAAGATGGCAGACGGAGCTCACATCTATATCCTTCTCTCTCACCACCTCACATGTGTGAGAGAAAAGGTATTGTAAAAATAGTAAGTATAAAGCCCTTCTTGAAAACAAAAAGGGTATGTCACGTAACAGAAATAAATACGTTTCCCTAAAACCTGGAAGCAGTAAGGTGGAGCTGTCCAGCCTCAAGCACCTCAAGACTGGGGCTGATGCCACTAGCATGGGACCAAATGTGTCTTAAGGGCTCTCTGCTGAGGCTGTCACAACTCAAGAGGCTCAAAGGGTAATGATCCCATGGGAGACGTGAACTCAACTTAGCCTCATCATGTAGCTGAAGAAGACCAATCCTTTGAAACAACTCAACAAATAAAAGCATACACACTCAAAGCAATGGATATAATAAAGCAATATGAAAGGAATTTAAGAGGGAGAGAACCCTCTGGCTGGAATTAGACTGGCCTCGAATCTAGTGAATAGAATGGTTCTTCCACTCTGTGGATTTCCCTGCTTGGAGAAGTCTCTGGAAATACAATCTGTTTTGGATAAGAGACACCTAGTTTCAGCAACAATTAAGACAAGAGAGACTAGGAGAAAACGCTAGAAACATAAATCGACTCAGAGAGGGGCAACCACGAGACAGGGAGGAGGAAGTAGTGGGTGAGTGGGAAGACAGGTTTGCAGGACAAGAAGCAGACGGAAGAAAAAGAGGCAGAAGAACAAAGAGGCAAAGAGAAGGACACGTGGGCAAGAGGGGAGCAGAACGCAGACAGGCAGACAGGTGCAGTCCTCCGTGTCTCACCTTCACTTGGCTCTGGATCTGGAAGTTGAAGCTTTCATTCCACTCTGGGTTTGGGCAGTTGGAGATGGTCCTTGTCCTCAGCCTCTTCTGAGAGGCAGTGGGCAGCCAGAGGCTCACAAAACAGTCTGTCTGGCTCACTGTTCAAGAAAGATAAGTGGAACCCATTCAGGTTCAGAGAAGAGAAAATGTGGAGTCAAAAGGGATCTTCAGGCAAGCCTCTTCCAGAGCCTGGCCCTGTCTCAGCCGGTTCCTCTCCTTACTCATAGGTCTAACTTTTCAGAGACCCAGAACCTCAAGAAGTCACAGACTGCAGGCTATGGGTCTCACAGAGGGTGACCCAGTCCCAGTGGCCATTCTCATAGACACAGATGGCCCCCGACTCTTATCAGAAGCACCCTTGTCTCTGAGCAAACAAATACCTGCTGGTTTTGGACAAGGTATAGTCACACAGTTTTTCCCTCTGCCAAGGTAAGATCTGGAAGACCAGCCCCCAGGGTCCAGTTTACTTATTGTGTTAGCCCAGGGCACCAGGTAAACCAAAGTAGGACCACACGCTCCCTCTGGGCTGAGGAGACGCGAAGATGGGAAGGAACACAGCCTGCTGGGAGTCGGTCAAGAAGGGCTCCAGTGGGCAAGGGCTTGAGTGAAACTAGCTATTCAGCATGATCCAGGAGCAGGAACCCATCTCCATACGGCTTAATGCCTCCACTGCATCTGGCCAGGCTCTTCATACCTATCCTATCTACAGCATGAGGTTATGGCCCAAGAAAGCCTCCCTGCTGTGGCCATGTATTTCTTTTTCATTCCAAATGAACAACCCAAGTGTAATGCTGCTGGATATGCTCTGGAGAAGGGACAGAGGCTTTGATCCCAACAAGCTCTCCCAAAATGAGGGAAGGTCTCCTAAGTCTTCCACCTGGAGCAGCAGAAGGGATAGGGTGAAAAGAGCAGCCCAGGCTGGCTCCTTGCTCCATTCTACCTGGGAGGAAGGAGGCAGAGGGGCCATGACTGTCCTTGTTACTCTCTTGGCAATCGGCGAGGGTAAGTCCCAGGATACACACCAGATACATAGGAAATGGTGAAAGCCAACACGGTTCGCAGCGTCAGACAGTTCTCTCGATGGTAAAGCTGACAAGAGGATGGGCGTTCTACCCTGGTAGGACTGATTTAAACTAGTTTTTAATTATTAAGAGTCACTAATGAGCAGTGGAGCCAGGGCTGTCTTCGCCCTGCGTTGTCACCACACTGAAAGGTTTATCAGAATCAAGAGGCCTGATCTGCACCACAGACGTTCCTGTGATTTCATCCCTGAAGTCTGGTTAATCTTTGAGGCCTCACCATTCAGTGAAACGAAATGCACAGCCCTCCTCCTATTGAATAAAGGTGAGATGATGCCATACTTTAGATGTCATGATAATCGCTTAATCCAGACAAAAAGAATGACTGAAACCCAAACAGAATCAAAAGAAAATGATGACCTAATCACCCTATTCATCCCCTCTATGCTCAACCTGCTCTTCCTTATCATCACTCAGGCTTCCAGGCCAGAAACCAGTGTCATCCCTGATTCTCAGCTTCAGCTGATTTAACCCTTTGTCTCTCTTGGGCCCCCCATTTCTCATCTACCCTGCCACTCTGCTGGTGCAGAACACTGTGATCTCTGAGGCCACTTCCCAGATGGGCTCCCCATGTCCTGTCTTAGCCCCACTCTAATCTTTTCTCCAAAGAGAAATCACAGGGAGCTTTTTAGATATGACCATGCCACTCCCCAGTTTAAGAACCATCAGGGGCTCCCTTCTGCCCTCAGGAAGGAGTCCCAGACACAGAGTGGCTGCCCCTGCCCACTTCCCCAACCTCAGCCTCATCTCTCCAGCCTCTCTAATACCCACCCCTGCCCTCTGTGTGTATGTGCACATGTGCACACATGTACATTCACAAACACACACAGACGCATGCACTCAAACTTACACACACACACTCACAGTTTAGAATCCAGCCAAACACAATCACTTGCATGAAAAGGTGTCAGGCTGTCTTGATTTCAGCCTTCGCATGGGTAGCGCCCTCTGCCCAGAACACTCTCCTACTTTCACCCACCCTTCTCCTGGCTAGCCTCTTGGGGCCTTCAGAAGGAACCTCCTCTGGAAGCTTTTCCTGAGCACCCAAGTCTGGGCCAGGTATCCCTGAATCCAGAGTCCTGCTCCTCTCCCTGGGAGAACCCCTATGCTGCCCTGCAATAACAGATGGACTCCTTGGAATCCATTACACTGTGGCCACAGGATACAGGTACAGATACATCACTGCAGATGTGTAAGAGGTCAGCCTGTCTCATTGCTCTGCCGATATGGAGACTCACTGGGGACCTGCTCAGCCCTCTTGAACCCCTCCCTTGGTTTTTCTAGAATACTGGTCCCTCCTCCCAGGCCTGAACCATACCCCTCATGTCTGTCTCCTGTCCGCTGGGAGCCTGCAGGCAGGGACCGGCCAGCTCCACACCTACTGGCTCTGTCACTTGCCTCGCACTCGCAATTTGATGGACCCTGGAAGGGCCCCTTCCCTCTAAAATTGTTTTCCTATCATTAGTCCATGCCTAAAACTCTCCTACTACCACCCATTAAATAAAAACTCAGTATTTTTGGCCTAAGGCTTAAATGTCTACTAAAGAAAAATAAATATTCTTGGCGGAGACCAGAGGGATCAGATATTCACATTCCAAACATTATTTTTTCAGTAGTGTTGTGGAGAGTGGCTTCCTCTGTCCACCCCCAGCAATGAAGAATGGTTAGGCAATGGTGACCTGGTTCCAAGAATTTCACGGACTATGGGGATTTCCTAGGTACAGATAGGTTCTAATCTCTGTTTCTCTTGGAGTGACAGAAGGTTTGGTCATCTGAATGACATGTCTTCTTTCCTGGAATGTGGGTGGCAGAGGCTACTTAATCAACTCTACAGATGTCCAGAACTCTGTCTCTCTAACACCTCTGGTATTAGACACCTGTCTGATGTCCCTTGGGGTGCTGGTTTGGGTTTTAATTTGTTTTCCCAAGAGAAACAAAACTCCTGACCACTGGGAGGTTTCCAGACCTGATGGTCTCTCAGTCCTGGCCCAGGGCTCTTCCAACTATCAAGAAAGAGTCAGCCCCAAGTCTGTGTATTCATTGCCATTTAGCCTCTTTGAAATCTTAGGAGACTCAGGTACAAGTTACAAGACTAAATGGGAGTGCTGTTTGTGTTGGATTCAAACTAGAAGGGAAAATTTGGGGACAAGAGTAACCCAGGACCTAAAAGGCTTTGGGATAGTCTTAAATGTAACCCAGGCAAGGTAGCAACACAGCCCAGCCTGCAGCAACTGTGAAATCCAGACAGAACGTGACTGGGGTTGGCACCCTGAGATGCCACATGTACCTTCCATCTTGTTCCTCAGGGGAAATGAAGGAAAACGTAAGGAGCAAGGGGGTTCTCAAAAAGTACCAGGTACCCCCCAAAGGCAGCCTGCGTGCCCGAGGGTCATTCAGGGAAGGGAGGAGGAGGAGGCTTGCAGAGCTAGACCACAGCCTGTTTCTCTGGCCGCCTGTCCTTCCTCATGCCCTGTCACCCGCTGAGTGACAGGTGTGGCAGGAAAAAGACAGAAGAATGGGCCCTGAACACTGGGAAGTCTGACTGTGCAGGTGCAGGCATGCAGCTGGGGGCGTGTGGCCAGGTGACTGGAGGGGCTGGGACAGACACCTCAAAAGGAGTTGGAGGGCTGGGCGTGGTGGCTCACGCCTATAATCCCAGCATTTTGGGAGGCTGAAACAGGATCGCTTGAGCCCAGAAGTTCAAACCCAGCTTGGGCAATATGGTGAAACTCTGTCTCCACAAATATATATATATATATATATATATATTTTAAAATCAGCCAGGTGTGGTGGTGCATGGTTGTAGTCCTAGCTACTCAGGAGGCTGAGGTGGGAGGATCACCTGAGCCCAGGAGGTCGAGGCTGCAGAGAGATGGCACTGAGCCACTGTACTCCAGTCTGGGCAATAGAGTGAGGCTCTGTCTCCAAAAAAAGAAAAGAAAAAGAAAAAGAAAAAACAGAAGGAGCTAAAGGAACGCAAGCACTGCTGTGGATATGTGGGAGCTGGGTTGTCCCAAGGATGAGGGTGAACCCTGCCCAAGAGTGGGGAAATGTCCGAGTGACCTCCATGGCATGGGCAAGAGAGAAGGCCATGTCCCAGGCCCAGGGGACACTCCCTGGCTCCTCAGATTGCTCACTGATGGGCTGGGAAAGACCCCAAGAAGCTCGAGGAGAAGTCCCTGACCCTTTGGTTGGCCAGATGGCAGACACAGACTCAAACTGAGGCTGCTGAAGCCACTCCTACTGGCACGGGCTCTGAACACATCACCCTCTGGGGCTCTGTCTCTGGAATCCTGCTTGGTCCCTTCGCTGTCTCTGGGGCTCAGGGCCCTGCCACACTCATCCATCCACACTCAGCCTTGCCTTGCAGTGACAGGTTCCTGCAAGCTCCCAGACTCGCCGCACCTGCGCTCTGGCCCAGGCTGCATTGGAACCCTGAGGAAGTCATGCAATCGCTTGCTCAAGACCTCAGGCACTCCATCACTTTGAAGGCATCCGATCCCTCCTCTGCCTCACTTCCTGGTTCCCCGCACTTGGCTTGTCTCTTCTCTTCCCACACTCTCCAGAACTGGGATCAAGCCACTTCCCTCTTAGGCAATCATTAACCTTTCATCTGCAAAATGGGCCTCCAGGATTTCCCCTCTTGCTGTTGGGAGCATCAGGCAGTGTGTGGATGTCTGGTCACAGGTCAGCCAGGCAGGTGCTCAGGGGGTGTGGTTGCCCTCTCTCAGGACAGCCTCTGCCCCAGACTGGGCTCCCCAGCCCTCTGGATGCTCAGGTGCTGCCCCATTAGACCCCACACCCTCCGTGCGGCTTATGGAAAAAAGAAGGGCCCAGCTCTCAGTGTTCTCCTCCGCCTCTAACCTCCCTGGTGACAAGATGGGAACACTGTCTCCTATTATTCTAGAGCTGCTTTGGACATAGACAGCTCCTCTTGTTAAAATGTACACTCAGTCTCAGGGCTCTGTGTCTTCTCTGCCCCTCTCAGGCCCTCTCTAGCCTTTGGGGGTCCTTGTGGCCCTTGAGCCATTTCGGCGTGGTTACCGGTGAGTGGGGATGCTCCCCAGCTGGGGGCCTGGACACGACTTTTTCCTCCTTGGGGCCAATTTCGTCTCTGGATGAGGCTAGTGAGGGCAGTGTGGGGAGGGGCTTTGGGTTGTCATGATTGCCTACAAAGCCACCCAAAGACAGGGATGGGAGGATTTTGCCCCCTGAGACGCCTCCATTGGTCCCCATGGCCTGGAAATGCAGCAGGTGCTGGGATGAAGGGGGAGGTCAGGGCTGCAGGAAACAGCACTGCCCAAACAGCCCCGGGAAGTCCAGCCATATCCTTGGGCTGAACTGCACAACTGGGTGCTGTGGGCTCTGGCATGGCCCCCAGAGCCCAGTTTCAGATCTTTGTTCTGAGAAGGGGCTCTGGGAGTCAGCTGGCAGCTGGCTCCAGATGCCTATGCGCCTCTCCTTCCACTTAACCCCAAGAGGCCCTAAACACAAGGAGGAGCAAGGAGTGCTCCATGTGGGCAAAGCTTGTGCCCCTGGAAATGGATTCCAGGGAGAAAGTTTGGGGAGGAGACAGTGGGCAAACAGAGCTCTTGGATGCGGGCACAGATTGTGGGGCAGGTAGCATCGAGGAAACAGCACAAGCGAGTGGCCTAGAAGAGTGACGGCAACCCGAAAGTCTAAACTACAACTTGAGTAAGAACACACATGCATGCACATGCATGCACACATATACACCCCCCCATCCCCCCACCCCCCGCCCACAGAGATCCGCCTGACCATTTCTCCAGCCAGGGCCTCCCCGCTCCAGACCCTGTAAGCAGAGCAGAAGGAGAAAAGTGAGGTGAATACTCACGCATATCACCCTGCCGGACATTTTTCATCCGGATGACCCGCACTGTCAACAGGTGGCATGGAGACAGCCCGTCCTGTGGAAGGAGAGGACAGAGAACTCACTCTTCAAGCATCACCCCAAGGTCATCACCCCTGGGAGACTTCCCCACTTTGCCTCCGCAGGCCTGTCCACTTGCGTTACAGCAGCCCTCATGCTGAATATATACATATATATTTTATTTATTTATTTCGAGACAAGAGTTTCACTCTTGTTGCCCAGGCTGGAGTGCAACAGTGCAATCTTGGTTCACTGCAACCTTTGCCTCCTAGGTTCAAGCAATTCTCCTGCCTTAGCCTCCCAAGTAGCTGGGGTTACAGGTGCCTGTCACACGCCTGGCTAATTTTTTGGAGTTTTAGTAGAGATGGGATTTCACCATGTTGTCCAGGCTGATCTCGAACTCCTGACATCAGGTGATCCACCTGTCTCAGCCTCCAAAAGTGCTGGGATTACAGGTGTGAGTCAGGACGCCCAGCTCCCCATGCCGTTTTAGATTTGTTTGCTTGGGTTTCTGTTTGCTCTTCACCCTGTAAGATCCTGGAAGCGCCAGAGAGCCTGGGGCCCTGACTGGCTTTTCATCTTTGTACCTCCAATACTCCAGAAAACCGTCTGCCTCTTGCTGCTTCACTGTTTCCCGCGAGGGGTCCTTGGGGAGTCTTGGTTTATCTGCGATGACCTCTCTGTCCTGACGGCAAAAGCTCAAGTAGTCCTTGGTTTGATGACTGGCTCCTGTCAGATGCCTCTGCGGGTCATGATCACCCCACGGGACCAGAGCCCTGAGGTGTCCCCCTCCCTAGCACCTTGTCCTAACGTCTGGGGTGCGGGAACACCCCAGCCCCGCTCACACCATGCTGATGCTCCTGCTCCTGTCCTGCCCCTCTTCGAGCTCTGATCACCTCCTGGGGGCTCTGCAATCATCTCAAGCCCGGGTCCTCATGGAACCCCCAGATCCCTCCCTGGGCTGCAGTGTCTGGGGCAGTAGCCATGATTCCGTAAAGCCCCGCACACCCCTCTCCAGCCGCCCCTGCACTCTGAGTCTCAGCAGCCACCACTCCACTTTGTCCCCCTTGGACCCATGACTTTCTGCCTCCCAGAGGCTCCGAAACCACCTCTCCCAGCCGCACCAGCTTCTCTGGACCCTGCAGCCGCAGAGGGTCCTTGGATCATCCTTCCTGCCTACCGAGGGACCGCGGCTGTCTCCCAGTGCTCCTCTGCCCACTGCCCTCCGCCCCAGGCATTAAGCCTGTGGGAGCCGCTTTCGTTTCACCCCTCTCCTTGCCGGCATCTCTTCCAGGGGCTGTCTTTAGAGCTCAGGGCCTGTGCGCTTGCTGGTGGGGCTCCCTGCCTCTGTTGCTCTGAGGGTGCCAGTCCTCTGATTGTTCCTCTGAATCAATGAGCCATCTTCTGGAGTATTACTTTTCAGCACCTACTGTGTACCAGGCCTTATGCTAGATGCTGGGGAGTCAGGGGTGAATATGAGGCAGAGACAGACAGGTTAAAGGCAACGGTGGCCAGTGGCTTTGATGGAGAGAACAAGTCAAGCTGGTCACAGGCTGTCCACACCTTGGCTTGGGGCCTCTCCCTGGCTCCAGAAGCCTCCCCGCCATCAGTCATGCTTCTGGACTCTGAAACCCTCTTCTGGTCCCTAGGTGCCCAAGGCTGCAGAGGTGAGGTGCGTTTCCACTCTGAGCTGGCATACCCTGGAAGGGGGCAGCCTCGCACCTGTTCTCTTCAGGTGTCCTGGTTCTGTTTTTCTTGGGGCGTGCCTTTCCTGTTGGAATCTTGGGACGTGAAGCCTCTTTGCTGAGAGTTTTACCCAGGCTTAGATGAGTCTTCGTTGCCGTCCATTCCCAGCCTGCACCCATGGTAAATGCCAACCGACCGAATGTCTGTATTTATAGAGTCCTCTGAACTGGCCCCTCCACACGCCACCCTGCATGTTCTACTCTGTGTGGCCAGAATTGCTTTAGACCTTTTTGAGAGGATGCAATTCTCCTCTCCTTAAATACTACTGGAATTGGTGGCAGGGGAAACAAGATATGAAGGAAAAAAGTTTCTCTAATCCCACCACTTAGAGAAAAACTTTTTTTTTTTTGAGACGGAGTTTCGCTCTTGTTACCCAGGCTGGAGTGCAATGGCACGATCTCGGCTCACCGCAACCTCCGCCTCCTGGGTTCAGGCAATTCTCCTGCCTCAGCCTCCTGAGTAGCTGGCATTACAGGCACATGCTACCATGCCCAGCTAATTTTTAGTATTTTTAGTAGAGACAGGGTTTCACCATGTTGACCGGGATGGTCTCCATCTCTTGACCTCGTGATCCACCCGCCTTGGCCTCCCAAAGTGCTGGGATTACAGGCGTGAGCCACCGCGCCCGGCAGAGAAAAACATTTTATCTTTATTTTATTTTTTTATTTTTAGTGACAGGGTCTCGCTCTGTTGCCCAGGATAGGCAATCTTTTGATGTTGGTCCTTCCAGACTTTCCTGGGACTTAATTTTTCTTTTTTTCTTTTCAAGATGGAGTCCTGCTCTGTCACACAGGCTGGAGTGCAGTATCGTGATCTCAGCTCACTGCAAACTCCACTTCCCAGGTTCAAGCAATTCTCCCACCTCAGCCTCCTGAGTAGCTGGAATTAAAGGCGCTCATGACCATGCCCAGCTAATTTTTGTATGTCTAGTAGAGACGGAGTTTCACCATGTTGGCCAGGTTGCTCTTGAACTCCTAGCCTCAGGTGATTCTGCCTGCCTCAGCCTCCCAAAGTGCTGTGATTACAGGCATGAGCTACCGTGCGCAGCTCCTGGGACTTAATTCTGATCAGTAACAGAATGCAGATTCTGCGAAGGTTACATTATTTAGTCCCTTTTAAGATCTCTCCTCTTCTCAATAGCTGCCTCAAAATTAGGACAAAAGTCAAACTCAGTGAGTTATAGGCCTGAAGATTTCTTTTGTGAGATCAACTGTGAAATATGGTCCATCACTTGCTCTAACAGCATTCTGTTGGGAGCTGGAGACTTGGGCCACAAGCCACACACACTGCTTGTCCTCTGGTGCTGGAGACATGGCTATGGCCTTTGGCCAGACCTCCAAGGCACAGTGCACCCCACCCTTCTCACTCTGCCTGAGTGCAGCACACACACTGGGCTGGCCTGGTGAGGAGGCAGGGTCAGCTTTCACCAGGCAAGCACTTTTGGCAAAACCTGTGCCCACCGGCCCGCTTTCTCAATGGGCAACTAGAGTCTAAGCTGTGGAGGCTTCCACAGGCAGGAGTCAGTCCTGGGGGATATTTCACAGTGTTTCAGGGCTCTGAACCCAGGTCAGGTGGTCCTCTCGGCCATCACAGCCCTTCTCCTGCGTCCAGGAGGGGCTGCCTGTGGCCTAGCCTTCCTGCTTCAATATCTACCCCAACAGGGAAGGCACAGGCACAGTTTTTCTTAGGACCTCACTCCAGGTGTCCTGCCTTCCAGGACAAGTTCACTCCAGTCATCTAACCCCAGTGCCTTCCAATGCATGTGACCATTTCTTCCTGCTCTAACAGAGCAACAGTAACAGCTGGCATCTGCTGTGTGCCAGCCATACACAGGAACTGTGTACAGATTCTCTGCATATTATCTTGCTTACTCCCTAAAATCACCCACAAAGCAGTTATTATTGGCCTCACCTTTACAGATGGAGAATCAGAGGCTAAGCCCTTTGACGCAGCGTTCGCAGCTAGAATCAGAGAAATCCAATGCTGCTTCTCAAGCCTGTATTTCTCCTACTGCTATTGTATCTGTTTACTTGGCAAACAGGAAGACAGGTGTTGCTTGCCCTCATCTCTTCTTTGGTTTTTGTCTCTTTAAAACAATTTTCTGACAGATTCTGCTTTTCACCCAAAGCCAAAACATAATCCCAAACTCTCACATTCTTCTATGGTCTGCACTCTTACTGGCTGGCTGTGCTTCTACCAACACATTCTAGGATCTCCCTCTCTCTCTCTCTCTCTTTTTTTTTTTAGACAGAGTCTCCCTCTGTCACCCAGGCTGGAGTGCAGTGGCATGATCTCAGCTCGCTGCAACCTCCACCTCCTGGGTTCAAGCAATTCTCCTGCCTCAGCCTCCCAAGTAGCTGGAATTATAGGCACCGGCTACCATGCCCAGCTAATTTTTTTTTTTAGTAGAGATGAGGTTTCACCGTGTTGGCCAGGTTGGTCTTGAACTGCTGACCTTGTGATCCACGCACCTTAGCCTCCCAAAGTGCTAGGATTATAAGCATAAGCCATTATGCCTGGCCCTGATCTCCCTCTCGTTTTTAAACATCTGGACTACATTAGAACCATAAGGTCCTTGGAGAAGTTCCCATTTTCCAGTAGCCACAGATTGCTCCACTTGAGCCTCAGATCACCACCCTCCAGCTCACAAATTTTCAGGAGAGACCCAGTTTGCAGGAGACAACCATATTTTGCCAGCACAGAAATGGGACCGGAAAGGGAGTTTGAGAGTCATCCCAGTGGGGCCATGCTGGGAGGAAGGCAGCAGGAATATGGGACTTAGGAATATGATATGGGGTGCAGATGCATTCCGGGAACCAGGTCTATGAGGAATGGCCTTCTTGGGTTGCAATAAATATACCTATTTTGCTTCTGATATAATCTGCTCGATCAGTATTGCTAGAGGTGAGCAAAAATTCATGGCCTAGAGGCAATTAATCTCCAGTGGAAAGATGCAGTAAAGGACGGTATCTCGCATCTGTGACTATGCACGTGGGAACCAGAAACCCGGGAGGCTGTGGAACCCAAGTTGACAGGGTTGCACATGGTGTGATAAGGGCCAAAGCTTTAAGACTCAGACAGCTCGTCCCTAGAACAGGATGCCCTGGCTGGGATTGGGTATCAAGGTGAAGAGTCAAAATATTTCACAACGGACATGATCAAGCACCATGCCAGCTGGGCTGCAGCCCTGGAGGAGGGACAGGCATTCATCCTTCATAGGGGCATTGGAAGGGCCGTGCGGTAAGGACCAGGGGAGCACTCAGGGACTTGGAGCTCAAAGCAGGAACCGTT